CTTCATGGGTGCAGGGGCTCCAGGCAGACTGGCAGCTGGGAGCCTGAATGCCTGGGTTCTCACCCAGATGAGGGGAGAAGTGGAGCTGGTGGGTTAGAGCAAGGGGAAATGGGGGCCTGGACACCTGGGTTGTCCCCCATCTTGAGGGGGCGGGCCACTAGTGGGTTAGAGCAGCGGGGATTGGGAGCCAGGACACTGGGGTTCCCCGCAGCTCTGGGAGCGGTGATGCCCAGTGGCACCCCAGAGGGACTGATGATTTAGATATGTTCTTTCATTAGTTTCCTTGATGACCTGTTTCCTTCTCATCCTTCATCCTCAGAGCCCCCTAGTCTGGCAATGGGGTGCAATGTGTTGGGGGGATGCTTATACTGGGCCCCCCTTGCTCAGCACTGAGCTGCGACTGGCTCTAGGATGGGATGTGTACAGGGGTATTGGGGCCCATGGGTCCTTGCTGAGACCCCCCACCCCACTCACTGCAACACCCTGCCCCAAGTGATACAGGCAGTGCCTGCCTGCCGCTCCCCCCTTCTCCCCGGGCAGGGAGCCGGAGGAGCTTTCTGCCAGGAGCTCTCTGCCACGTGTGCAGCTTGGGGGGGTGCTAGGCCCATGGGCAGGACACGAAAGTCCTGTGTCAGCTCCCTATGGAGCAGGAGGACCCCCCCCCCCCTTCTTCCCTGCCCTGGGGGCTTCCAGACTGGGAGACCCCAGAGCTGAGCTCAGGCCCCATAGGGGTTAGGAGAAGGGTCCCCCACTCCAGTGCTGGCCTGAGACCCTGCTCTTCCCCCCACCAATACCCATTCCTTGTGACAGTGGGCACTGCCAAGCAACCCCCTCTTCTTCCCCCACAACCTGGCACACACTTGCATGGGGGCGTGCATGGGGTGTGTGAGGCTTTCACCAATGCCTGGGCAGTCTTCCAGGTGCTGGGCATGTCCACTGGCGGGGGTGTCGGTTGCACACACTGGTGATAAGCGTGCAGGGAGGTTTCCTGTGTACACACTTGTATGTGCAAGTGCAAGCCCCAGCTGGGGACAGGGTCTCTGTGATGCGCGCAGCGGGTCCATGTTGCACACGGGCTCATGCTCCCTTGCACAAGGAGGGGCTGGGTTGAAGGTGAAACATCCCCTGCCCCCAGCAGCAAAAGCCCCTTGGCCCCTGCCCAGGCTACCAAAGGCTGTGCTGGGCTCTGCCCCTTGGCTCACCCCACCCTCCATATCCCATGGCACTGAAGCCCCTTTGTCTGGCTGATGAGGCCCTGGCACTGGGGCAGGCCTGGCAGAGCCTGTGGGGCTCCTGGTGCTCTCTGGGCCATGGGAGACACCATCTGCCCTGAGTTGGGGGGTGGGGGCTGATGCTTATCTGGGGCAGGGAGAGGTTGGGGGTGGAGTCTCCTCTCCTTGGGGCACCTTCACTGCTCACTTGCTGCCCTCCCAGAGCTGCGTCAGGGACAGGCACGAGGGCAGCAGCTGGCAGTGCCAAGCCATCGCTGCTGGTGCAGGTAATGAGGCCAGGAGCTGGGCTATAGAGGTCTCCTAGGAATTTCTGGGGGATCGGTGGACACAAGGGAGGGGGGCTATAGACTGTGTAGGCTGGAGATGGGGACTATAGGGGACCCTATAGATGTGAGTGTATAGGGGTCCTATAGATATCTGGGGTTGGGAGATAAGGGGGCCTTATAGTTTTCTAAAGATGGGGATGGGTGCATACACAGGACATTGTAAGGTTGTGTTTGTAGCCAAAGGCCTGAGTTCATGGACCCTATCAACTTATGAAGGTCTTGGGGGTAGGGGATGCAAGGAAACTATAGATTGTTGGACTTGGTGGGGGAAGAGAGATTCATGCATGGATCCTATAGATTTCCACAAGGTGAGGATGGAAAGTCTAGGAGGACCCTATAGGTTTTCAGAGCTGATGGGCTTGGTCTAGGAATTGAAAGGGGTGGGTATGGGGCCTTTATAGTGTTCCAGATTCACTGGGTCATTCATGCCTCTAGATTTCTAGAGCCATGTATGGCACCCTGTGAACTTTAGGGACTGTGGCTGGGAGCTGGATGCCTGGCCCCTATGGATCCCGTGGCAGTGTGGACCATATAGATTTCAGGAGTGGGGGAGGAGTTGGAAATGTCTGCTCGCTACATTCTCAAGCCTTGAAGCATGTACCCTATAGGTTTCGGTAGCTGGGACTCCGGTCCTTATAGATTCTGAATTGGGGGGTGGGGGGTGGCAGGGTGTCTGGACATGGGCCCATATGGATTCTGGTAATGAAGTGTGTGTACCCTATAGATTTTGGTAGCGGGGCACTGGTACTGCACACCCTATAAGTTCTTGAAGATGTGGCTGGGAGCCTGGGCTTTAGGGCTACTTTCAACTGGTATTCTGATCCTTATAGAGTCTGGTGTTTGTGTGCCTATAGACCTTATAATTTTTATAGCTAAAGGCTAGGAGTCTGGTCCCTATAGATCCTGGCAGTGTGGGGACTGTCCCTGGACCTTCCCAGGGCAAGGAGAGGGCCCTGCCAGCTCTGGGAGTCTCTCCAGGGCTGGGGGGAGGGGGCACAGTATCAACAGGTGTCTCAAAGGTATTTTTGTGCCAGGACCTCGTCACTAGTGACACATTATCTCCCAATGTCACCGACAGGCACATGTTGTGCCTTTAGCCTTCTGGGGACCAGGCACCACATAGCTGGCTTGGACCCCGCTCCACAGAGGGGGCTGCATGTCAGTACCAAGCAAGGGGTCCCTGTATGAACAGCTCCCAATGCATTCCACCCCAGAAGCAGTTGCATTTCCAGAGAGCCCTGGAAGAGTCCAAGTCTCCCCTTTTCCATCTGTCCTGATCTGTCTGTTTGTTTCTGTCTTTCAAGGTTGAATCCAGGCTCTGAGGTGTGCTGGGGGAGCCAGTGAGCATGACTGGGTGTGCACCCTCCCCCTGTGTTAGTGTGAATCCTTGTGCGAGCTGCATGTGGGTACATGTGTAGCCATTATGCAGTCGCATGCTGGCAGCCTGAGCACAAGGCTGCATGTGGGTGTGTGAGTGTTGCTGGCAAGGGTGAGAGTGAACAGGAGCTCATGCTGCCTCCCCTCCATGTGCAGGCATGTTCTCTGGGGAGGTGAGCAAGGGCCCTGCAAGCGTGAACGGAGGTGAGCAGCAGTGTGCAAGAGCAGGGGCAAGTGCTGCCTAAATCATTTGCCTTAGTGCCTGCTCTGGTGTGATCACAAGTGTGCAAGTGTGATAAGTGTGTGAATGTGTTTATGAGTCCCCTTGTGAGCACTTGCTCACCTGTCTGTGGCTCTGTGTGAGAGGCAGCACCCGCATGTGAACACGTGGGGGGTCCACCTGAGTGCCAGCTTCCCTGTCTGTTCAGAGAGTGGTTACCAGTGTTGGTGAGACATTGCCCCTTATGTGCTCACGAGGGCACGAGCCGTGTGTGAGTGTGTTGCACGTGTCTGCCATGGAGAAGAGCCAGGAGAAGAGCCCAGGCAAGCCAGACCTGGAGCTGGGCTCACCTGGGGAATCCAGCCTGGGGCTGCTGCCCACAGAGCCGCCTGCCCGCCCAGCCTGGAGCAGCAAAGCCCAGTACATCCTTGCCCAAGTTGGCTTCTCTGTGGGGCTGGGCAATGTCTGGCGCTTCCCCTACCTCTGCCACCAGAACGGGGGAGGTGAGCGGGGCTGGGCCCAGGCAAGCCAGACCTGGAGCTGGGCTCACCTGGGGAATCCAGCCTGGGGCTGCTGCCCACAGAGCCGCCTGCCCGCCCAGCCTGGAGCAGCAAAGCCCAGTACATCCTTGCCCAAGTTGGCTTCTCTGTGGGGCTGGGCAATGTCTGGCGCTTCCCCTACCTCTGCCACCAGAACGGGGGAGGTGAGCGGGGCTGGGAGGGGAAGGGGGGCTGGGGTAGGGAGTGGTAGGAGGTGAGGGGAGTGGGGCAGTTAGTGAGAGCAGGGGTAGATAAGGGGGGGCTAGGGAA